CCCACGTCCTCTCTCGAGCCCATGGGCCCACCCCCTGTCCGAACGGCCCGGTCCGCTACGTCCGGGAGGCTATAAAGACTTGTTTACCGACCCTACAAATCACCACATGATCTTTTCCTGTGTTTTGTCCTCACTCACACAGTTCTGGCAATCGCTTCCCGGAAGTTCACCCATCCTTAAACTACTCCAGCCCAAACACGCTTAACTGTGGAGTTCTCTCAGGACGGTTGACCGAAAAGATAAGTGCACTTTAGTGATATAGGTGGCCAAATCAATTCTTTTAAACCTCTCCACATACACCACCATATTCCTGAAACCGGGGTGTTACAATTCACCCCCACTAACTGATCGCAACGTCCTCGTTGCGCACCAAGACCATCTCCTCCAGCGGTGTGAGCCCTCTTGACTCCACACTCGTCTGGGTTCGGCTCTGATACCACTTGTAACGCCCCGACCGTCCCTACCAGTGGCCCCATGTCCTCTCTCGGGCCCATGGGCCCACCCTTGTCCGACGGCCGGTCCGCTACGTCCGGGAGGCTTTAAAGACTTGTTTACCGACCCTACAAATCACCACATGATCTTTTCCTGTGTTTTGTCCTCACTCACACAGTTCCGACAATCACTTCCCGGAAGGTCACCCATCCTGAAACTACTCCAGCCCAAGCACGCTTAACTGTGGAGTTCTCTCAGGACGGTTGACGGAAAAGATAAGTGCACTTTGGTGACATAGGTGGCCAAATCAATTCTTTTAAACCTCTCTGCATGCACCACCATATTCCAGAAATCGGGGTGTTACACATATGTAAACAACATTCTCAAGGAATTACTCTTTTGAGCTCTAATTAATTTCAGATGACAAAAAAAAAAAAAAAACGTATGTTGAAAATATTATTTAAAAAGGGAAAAAACCGATATTTCACATTTATGTTAATTATTTTTTTAAGACAAAAGTGTTTAAACATTAATTGGTAGTCTAAGATACATTGAATAACGTAGAAAAAAATCTAGGGGTTTTAAATGACTCAAAATTAGACGATAGAGATGAATCTAACGGCCATCGTTCTTCTTGTAAACAACGACACATCATATATCCTAATTGCCTATAAATAGAGGATTATCTTTACTCTCTTCTTCACTCTCAAATCATAAATCATTATAGTTAACCATTTCCTTTTCGTAATTTTCTTCTTAATTCTCTATTTCTCTCCTACTTCTTGTGTTCTCTCCTGCTTCTTGTGTTCTCTCCTCCTCCTATCCTTAGTCTTTGTAGAATTCTAGATCTACTTTCTTAGCTTGTTAAGGTACGTGCAGAGATAAAATTTGAGAAAATGTTGCTTGTTGTGTTGTGTGATATTAATGATGAATCCCACAAAACATCTGCAGAATCTCTTCCTATAATGGTCTCACCGCTTCGAACCATTTCATCTTTTGATGACTCCGAAAAGGAGTGGTATGATGACTAGTATGATGGAGATGCTGGTCCGAGTACTGGTTCAATCAAACAAGAATCATCTAATGGTCACACCATTGCAAACCATTATTAGACCATTATCAACTATCTCTTGGTTTCCGGTTTGCAAACCACTGATTAGATGATTAGATGGTGACCATTAGATGATTTGCAAACCGGAAACCAAGAGATAGTTGATAATGATCTAATAATGGTTTGCAATGGTGTGACCATTAGATGATTCTTATTTGATTGAACCAGTACTCGGATCAACATCTCCATCATAACAATCTTTTTCGGAGTCATCAAAAGGTGAAACGGTTTGAAGCGGTGAGACCATTATAGGAAGAGATTCTGTAGATGTTTTGTGGGTTTCATCATTAATATCACCAGATGATCCTCGTTTATTTGAACCAGAAATCGGATCAGCATCTACATTATAAGAATCCTTGCTGGAGTCACCATTACCAAGAAGTGGTGACTCCATTATAGAATTCGGTGTTGAGGTGCTTTCGGTCTGATTGTCTACAATATCCGGTATTGAACTTGCAACCGGTGTTGCCTCCATTGGAATAGACTTATCCATAATAAAAAAAATCCTATCATTACAAAAAGAACAAGTCAGAAATCAGTAATAATTATACAAGTAGATATATATGATGTAGCGAGAAGGTTTACGCAATATGGCTGTGAACATTTTTCAAAGGTTGCAAAAAATGCAAAAAAAAAAAAACTGTCATTTTTGTGTTAATAATAAATAAATTAAAACGGACATTTTTATGCAAGACTAATAAATGAAAAATGCCCACTCATTAATTATTCTTTATAAAATCTTCTTTTATTAATGCTATAAACCTAAAACTTTCCTACGAATTATGGATCCTTAAAATAAAATCGAGTGTATAATTTGATGATATTAAGATAAGGACACACAACACAACAAGCAACATTTTCTCAAATTTTATCTCTGCACGTACCTTAACAAGTTGAGAAAGTAGATCTAAAATTCTACAAAGACTAAGGATAGGAGGAGGAGCGAACACAAGAAGCAGGAGAG